ATCAAAATAAAGCATGACATCAACCATAGAGTAGCCATGAATTTCTCTATAAATCCTTTGCTTATTGTAAATGAATTACATTCAGACAACAAAACAGATGAATATTTCCATAATATTTTAAAGAATTGTTTGAATGACTTTTGATTTAAACATAGGACCAGACAAACGGCAATCAATGAAATAAACAGAGCTATATACACGTTATCATCGAGACAATGAAATTGATTAAACAGCGCCCATTCACCTGAAATAAATATATTTATTGTGTAATCATATCTCAATTTGTTGTACAGTATTATGATTTGCAAACCTTTTCTAGTTTTGGCTAAAATTCTGGACTCACTCTTAAAATCAAAATAATTGGTAATTCTTGCCCTGCCTTTTAGCCCACCATTGACTGCCCCCCAAAGGGTAGCCGTGAAGGGCATCGCAACCATATGTGAGACACCGCCAAAGAATTTGTGTAAAAATTTACGTCTGTCAAATACTTGTCTATAGAATCGCATTCTTTAGGTTTTTTTGTGTGACATATTTTGATGATTACCGACAGGACATGTAATAGATAGTAGTTTTGTATTAGTTATTTTACATATTTATTTATATTTAATACTACCGGTAATAAGTATAGATTTGAGTTTGTATACAATATTGTATTATCTTACATCAGGATATTAAGTGCATTTAATATTATTGTGATCGATTTATTAAATCTGTAATTTGTTGATGATAATATCTTATTAACTGTCAAAAACAAAACTAATTAATTTAATATCCTTAGTTCCCAAGATCTACACTGTTTAATGAACTAAAGTTTGTTTGGACTAAAAATATATCTGTATCTTGTTTAAGATTTTATTTAAAAATTTTATAAATCAATAAAAAACATTTGATACCCTAATTTTCAATACTTAAAATTGACTATAATACAAGTGTTATTTCAAATTAAAAATTATGAAACATACAAAATAATTATGATACCAATAAACATTACTGTATACAATTTACAAATTATATAAACTAGCAAACTAACCTGGCATTAACTCTTTTAGCAAATACTCTAAACAAGATCATCATAGGTCCGCACCACTGATAATAAAGAGTAGATGTATTACCGGATTTCCATTGGGCGTATAATATATACGGCGGATAAGCACTCGGCTCCACTCCTATCACTATATCCGTGGACTTTATTGAGTCGTCAAATCGTATTACAGATCCTTCCGGAGTGTCACTAAAATTATAACAATTAGTCCGAGAATTGATAATATCTTGCATTATTTTCAGTTGTATTAAGACATTAAAATAAAAATAAAATGTTAACGTTAAATAAAAAGTTTGCACTTCATTTCTAACACATTTACATTCTAATGGCTAATGATTTATCAAATCAATACTTTTTTTTGCATAAGTTATACTTTTATATTAAATAATGTGTTTTGTAACAATTACATGAAAGAATCTTCAATATTGATTTTTTGATTAATGGTTATAATGCACATAATTGTTTTTTAATTCACATTCATCGAAAACTTAATAATAATTATTATCTTATTTTTAATATTGTTGAACAACGTTTTACATTGTTTTTGATAAATAAGTTTCAAATAATAATTTCGCGTTTGAATCTATTATACCTAAAAAATGTTTCAAAATGCTGTCCAATATTACACACATTATATCTATTTTGTTGCAATTTATAAGTTATTTATAGTATATTTATTAATACAGTAGTATTAATCACAGATATATTTATCATTAAGGCTTTCAAATTAAGTTATAGATAAATTGCGATAATTATTTGTACCATATATTTTTAGTCCATTTATACTAAATGACCAATATGAACTGTACTTTATTATATCTAAATACCTTACTGTTTCTATTCAATTCATAACTACTGTACTTTTAATATACTACCGGTACTTACGAAATTATTTAAACTAACAAAATACACTCATTATTTTATTTTAAGTTTTATATTTTATTATAAATTTATATGATAATTAATATTAAATAAAACATTGGTTTCTGAATTTGATTTCATGTTAACAAAATACTCAACAATTAAAATAATAATACAGATAATAATAGCAATTAAATATAGAATATATAATCCTTGTAATTGAATTAACTTAACATGGTTAAACCCATATTTATCAATCGATAGCTTCTCAGTAAATTCAAGACGATATTCCGGATTTACGGTTTTCCTAATGAATTCATTATATATTCCGCTTTCATATAATATCCCTATACTATTACATAAGACAATAATTATTAATAAAATATATAATTAATGGCAAAAACTTGAGAAACAAACATTTTATCCCAATTTCGTGAAATCATTGGATCCATGATCAGCAACAGTAGCCGATTTGAGACCGTGAAGTAGGTCTGAACGAAATCACCCGATCGTGAGATGTGAAAGTCTATGTCTTCTCTGACCCAATCATCAGATATGATGTTATTTTTAATGATATTTAAAAATGTACTGTCTCCAACGATAGCTACTTTTCCCTCCATAACTCCCTTATAATCCAAATCCTGATCATACGATTTGAGACCTCTGGCAAAGTCTGCATCGGGTATGACATCCATTAGACTCGAGTTAAACTGAATGGCCACTGGATTGTCGGGAAAGTTGTTCACAAAATTTCTTATACCACTCGCCTCTAGTGATTGAATCTTTAAATGTTTCCACTCATACAAGTCAGCCCACGAGTTGATCCAGTTGATTGGCTACTCTATGGTTGATGTCATGCTTTATTTTGATGTCCGCATTCGCGGGACAGTTGTGGCAATTGTTGGTCCGATCGCAACCTATATATCAAATCGAGTCGTGGAGTGACTTGTATTCAAAGCCCGAGTGGAAAGACTTAAAAATACAGACATACAAAGATTTAGATATGTATAACTTTGCTAATGATTCACAAAATGCAAACAATCCAATGGCTCAGGACTTTTTGAATCGATTCGTAAATCTCTTGAATCCACTCGACTATCTGTTTGGGGGCAAGAATTTCGACAAAGACATCGACTATAAGGGGTTAATGGAGGGCCGATTGGTTCAGGTCCACAACAGGGACTTCCTGCAAGTGATTAAGAAGAATATCATAGAAAAGGGATATCGAGAAGACATAGACTTTCATATATCCCAATACGGATCGGGAACTCAACCCGTATTCCTGGCTTCCAATCCCCAAATAATGAACGAAACTCTGGGAAAGGCATTTGATTACACGTATGCTTACCTTTCATTCATAGTATTATTAACTCTTATTAAAAATGATAATACAAGTGTTAAGTATAAGTTTGATGTAATTCTATATACATTTCCTGTTTAAACTTTTTAAATATATTTTAGTACTACAATACTAGACATTAATTTGATTAATATTTTCAAAGAGAAATTTGTCTTTTTCAGAGTAAGTCAAATCCATTGCACCGGTATATATGACAACGCTATATATAATGCGTTAAACCCTCGGAAAAGTGGTCAAAAGTATGACCAAAAAGTTTCAACAATGGATTCCTATAATTATAACATTCTTTCGTTGTCTGAATTGAAGGGAATATTTGTCTTATTCTTAATCGTCAACGGATTGAGTCTCATTTTATTTGCCACAGAATTGCTTTATAATAAAATACATTATAATCCCTTAAAACGGAAAAAATCTATTTTTGCTAACTATACCAAGCGTTCAAGTCTTTACAACAATTATTATTACAATAATTACAGTTATTTTTATTACTAATAAACTTGTTTAATAACCACCATTACAGATGTCATTCAATCACTTTTAATGAATATAATAAAAAACACACAAAATTAAATAACAATTATAAAAGTAAAACAAATATTTATTTTTTCAAAACAAATATTTAATGAAATAATTACAATAATGTAATGTAACAAAAATGTATTTTTAGTAATTATAGAGAACATATTATGAAACATACTCTCATATGATTAATGTTATTTAATAAATAACAATGTGTTCAATAAATTATAGGAATTCTGTTTGACTAATGTTTTCAATGAATTATTTAACAATTAATGTCAACAGTAATAATAACCGATGTTTGTTTGAAATGAAAACAATTTGTTGAGTGATTAGTAATAATTGACTCATAATCATGAAGTATTGTACGTAAAACTGAATGAAAGGTTAGTAAAAATGTTGATATCGTGCGACAGTAATGTTTGGGTTAGTAGTCCAACAGTTTCCTATTTACAGATATCTTACTGATAGGATTGAAAATAACTCGAAATATACTTATAAACAAATTTCTGTTTTGATATTTAGATAAACATTTAAATTGACAAAAAATAATAGACAAATCAAAACAACAACTCAAAAGACAACTCAAATTGTCATTAAATATAAAATCCAAAAAACGTAAAAACATATCAAATGGTTGTTTTTGATATTTAGATAAACATTTAAATTGACAAAAAATAATAGACAAATCAAAACAACAACTCAAAAGACAACTCAAATTGTCATTAAATATAAAATCCAAAAAACGTAAAAACAATCAAATGGTTGCGAGCATTAAAGAGTGAAACAAATGAACGGTTGAGTCATTTCGGGCTATTCATCGTCGGAGATATCAATGTTGTCGATGATGGCGGACGTGTCCATCGGTTCAGACGAGTGCTTAGCAATCATGTGTTTATTCAAGAAAATGGTTCCACTGAAGGATCGGGGACACTCCGGACACAGGACTGAAACACATCAACAAATAGATTAGAAATCATTTGAAAGCCTAAAACACAATCAAAACAATTCATTACTTTTTCCTTCGCTCGTATTGGACGTGATTCTGTTAGCGTTGGCAGTGATCGTGTCTTTTTGTGTCCAATTGTCTCGAACCACATCCGCACATGAGATGTCATTCTTTTCATTCAATTCTGTGCGACTGTGGTTCACATATTGCGTGATCTTAGCCAACAAGTGGTCGATCACGACATTAGTATTATCGCCAACAGATTTGTTAATATTGGGCACATTTTTCTGAAACATTTCCTCCACTTTCTTCATCGTATACTCAGACTTCTCAAGCCTTCGTTTCTGTCGTACAAACCAATCAAATCTATTACAACCGTATTTATGCCACAACTTAAACACACATACCATAAGCTCCGACGACCTCTGGAAGTGCTGAACCTGTTTGCGAAGTGCCGTCACATCCGAGTCAAACGACTTCTCTCTGGCGGTGATATCGTCGGTCAGCCGTCTCTCCAAGTCTTCCTTCTCTTTGCGAACTTTCTCTACATCTCTGACGGCTTTCGTGTGCTTAGCCCTCCATCCCTTCTCATTGTCCGCCAATTCAGTCATTTTGGTCTTGAGTTTCGCGTTCTTCTCCTTCACGGCCTTGTATTCCGAACACAACGTCCGGTACTTCTTCTCCTTCTCGTCCGACTTGTCGCTGGCCTTCATATCCTTCATGAGAGCCTTCATTTGGTTCGTCAGCTTCTTCTTCTCCTCGTCCTTCACTTTCAACTGTTGCTCCAAATGTTGTTTCTGTTTCCGCTCGTCCGACAACTCCTTCTCGTACTTCTGGATTTGAGTCTTGATCTCTGAGTCCTTCTTATTCTTATAAAACTCCAGAAACTTCTTCCTTTCCTTCACCTCATCGTTCAGTTTCTCCTTCTCCTTGCGAACAGTCGTCAGCTCCGCCTTCAGACCATTGATCGCTTGGGTCTGTTCTTTGGCCTTCAGAGTGTTAGCAGTGGTCAGCTCTGCGTTGTCCGCCTTCAGGCCCTGGATGTCTTCACTGAGACGTCGATTCTCATCGGTCAGGATCTGCACCTTAATGGCGAGATCACGGGACTGATCGGCCAGTGTCTGCTTCGGGGGTGAGTTTGTGGCACACATGTGATCGCCAAGGGGTGACCGATCCCTCTCGAACCGGTCGTATCGCTCCCTATTCGGGGAGAACGCCATCTCTGCTCAGATTCACTGCAAATACACATAAAAATTAATAAAACATTAATTTGTGACAAATTTTCAATTTAAAAAGTCGTAATTCAAAAAAAACTTGTAAATAATTAATATAACAATAACTACCGTATAGTGAGACAAATGAAGGAAAAACAGCAATTAATTATCACTCTATTAATTATAGTACACGTCTTGTCACAAGTTTTAAAGTTAATACATGTATTGAATTACCTGTTATTGAATGGATACACAAATGAGCGATACATTCAATACAGTACTGTTTAGCACAGTGATCCGCAAAAGGCGTGTGTGAGACGGTGTGTCTAGGATTGCCAAAATTTTGAATTTTCCCGGAATATTTGAATATTACCATAGCACCACAGAGCAATGCATTTATTTCACAAATAAAACTTA